ACGCATCCCCTGGGACGAGACGGGCAGCGGCGAGGGGCCCGACATCGCCGTTGCAACTGCCCACGTCGTCAAGGTGGAGCAGCAGCAGAGTCGCGCGGGGCCCGACACGGAGGCCGCGCCCACCGATGGCCGCCACTCACCCGATGGGGCGCCGCTGTCATCCGGGGGAGCCACTGAGCAGAAGGTGAGGCAGACACACACACACACACACACACACACACACACACATTTTGTCTACCTGTCCACCTCTGCCCTCTCACGTACGCGCATGTAAGCTCACTTCGTGTTCAAAGTGGTGAAGCTGTCGAGTGTTTGCAGGCGCGCTCCATGACGCCCGTGGAGCGTACGGCAGCTTGGGTGCTGAGCAACGGGCGCTACCAGCAGGACCAGCAGGAAGATGGTGGCGAGGGAGGCTCTTCGGACGAGGTAACCGCCCGCGGCTTCCCATGACCTTGCGCGCCTCTGACTTTTTGTGGCGTTTTGTGCTGGCGCAGTACAAGCGGGAGGCGCGTCGTCTGAAGGAGCTACTGTGCGCGTCCTGGCGTCGACTGGACGAGTACCGACGCCGGCTGGCGGCGCAGGAGGTCGCCATCGGCGGCATGCGTGCCCACTACCAGACGCGGCTGGACGCCAGCGAGGATCGGCGCCGGCGCGAGTGCCGTGACAAACAGCGGCAGATTGATAACGTCCTCTGCAGGTGGCGCGCCTTTGCCGTCTCGTACACACACATGCCAGGGTTATTATAGTTTGGGATTTTTCATAGTTCTGGTTTGCTTTTATGGGACTTTGGTTGATTAAATTCATTTACTTTAGATTTGCCTTTATCGAATTTCCTTTTGTGAAAATGCCTCATTTTAGTTAGGTACATACATACTTTTGTTCATGCACACTCATAATCTCAAACACTCACACAAGCATAGACATTTGTGCAGACTATACACTCATGCACACAAAAACGTGTGTGTGTGTGTGTGTGTTTATGTATGTATGTTTGAATGTGTGTGTGTGTGCGTGCGCTCAGGCTGCAAGCAGTGGAGGAGGAGCTAAAGCGCGACCATGCTGAGATGCAGGCAGGCGTGCCCCCTACCAGACGCGGCTGGACGCCAGCGAGGATCGGCGCCGGCGCGAGTGCCGTGACAAACAGCGGCAGATTGATAACGTCCTCTGCAGGTGGCGCGCCTTTGCCGTCTCGTACACACACATGCCAGGGTTATTATAGTTTGGGATTTTTCATAGTTCTGGTTTGCTTTTATGGGACTTTGGTTGATTAAATTCATTTACTTTAGATTTGCCTTTATCGAATTTCCTTTTGTGAAAATGCCTCATTTTAGTTAGGTACATACATACTTTTGTTCATGCACACTCATAATCTCAAACACTCACACAAGCATAGACATTTGTGCAGACTATACACTCATGCACACAAAAACGTGTGTGTGTGTGTGTGTGTTTATGTATGTATGTTTGAATGTGTGTGTGTGTGCGTGCGCTCAGGCTGCAAGCAGTGGAGGAGGAGCTAAAGCGCGACCATGCTGAGATGCAGGCGGTGATTGAAACAAAACAGGAAGTCATTGATGCTCAGGTACGTCACACAGGAAGTTGTCATTTTTTTGTTTTGCTTCTGTCATTTGGGTTTTTTTAATTTTTTTTTTTATGCTTGGCTGTCTCCTTACTTTCTGCCGGGTTCGAACCACATGGCAGCGTTAACAGGAAGTTGAGACCCCAAAATCCAAAGAAGTGCTCACAAAAGCATTAACGTGTCCCAGACTACCTTTCACACAAAGTTTGCTGTTCTTAGCATGTATCTGACTCGCTGACCCCACCCTCTACCCCATTCAGGAGCAGCGCATCCTGTCTCTGGACGCTACGAACGCTCGCCTGATGGCAGCACTGACGCAGTTGAAGGATGGCTACGGCTCGGCCCACCTGTGCAATCCCACCAAGCTATCCATCACAGAGAACGGGGAGTTCAAGAACAGCAGCTGCTGATTGGGTAGGACGGGATGTCGGGTGTGGAACCTGGACTGTGTTGGACTGCGTGAAACAAAACCTTTTGTAACTTTTCTAAGGTTTTTATGAGAATTGTGCTTTTTTTTTTCGGTGAGACGTTTTTATCTGCTTGTTTCAGATGTCTAATTTATTTCTCTGCATTTTGTGGTTGAGCTACTGAAGTGTGAAAGGTCAAAGTTTGCAAAGTTCCGAGTAAAAAAGTGTCAGAAAGGAAACGTGCTGCTTGTCTCCATGGAAACACAAACAGAAGGCGCTTCCTGCTTGCACTTTTATTTGGTTAAAAAAAGAAAAATAAGACAGGAAGTGATCATATTGAAATCTTCTATGGTGATAATAATGCCGATCAATATAGACTTTGTAGTTTTTGTTTATACGAAAATAGGCAGCTGAGGAAGTTCAACTTGTCTCTGGCCGCCGCCGCGGGCCGTCGCACGAAAGCGCGCCACAAGAAAGAGTGCCGGCTGTGTCGTCAGTGAAAGTGGTTAAGATGACTCCTCCCTCTCACCTGGGCTCGTTAAAGGGTTAATGTGAGCAGAGGGAAGGGTGGGGCTGATGCATGGCCACGCCCCTTCAAGCTCCAAGGCGGTGGGTGGGGTGGGGGGTTTGGGGGATGTTCCCAAAAGCAGTCATCGTGTTCATAGCTTCTCCTTGGACTGCACCCAGATCAACGATCCTGAATGATCCTCGATGATCTGCTTGCTCTGCTCGTAGATCTCTTCCAGGGTGTCGCCCTGCACGATGGCTGTGCCACACACACTCGCGTTATTACGCTTGCTGTGTTGAAGAAGGAATCTGAAGCCGTGTAAAAGTGTTTTGTTTTTTTCCCCCAACCTGTGAAATGTTCCGTGAACTCGTGTTCCAACTTGGCGGCTCGCTCAAACGTCTTCCTGCTTTGTTCCTCCGTCAAACGCTTGTTCATCTCCCTGACGGGGACAAACACAAGCACACAAGTTGGATGTCTGCCTATGTCATTCTCTCCGCCTCTGAGAGAACGACTGTAAGTGGACATGAGAGTATGCGGCTTTGGGTGTCACAAGCATGCCTTGCGTTTGCCTCAAACTGAAATTCCGAACAAAAAACTTTAAAAAAAAAAAAAAAAAAAGGCAAACGAAAAGCACATTTGACAGGTATAAAACTATAATTACAGCAAAAACGTCCTTCGTTTTAGTCTCCGTTCTGTGAAATGTATACACGGAAGAGACAAGGTTGAACAGTCATTTGGGATTTGAAGTTTACTTCAATGCACAATAATAAATATAAAATGAATATAATGAAAAATCCAAACCTATTATAACGGTGTGTGTGTGTGTGTGTGTGTGTGTGTGTGTGTGTGTGCGCGCGCGTGCGTGCGCGCCTTACATGATGTTCTGGACGGACTTGGGTTTGATAAAGACAGCGATGGGATGAAGCAGCGCCGCCTGCAGGCGCTTGATGGCATTGCCCGACACATCCAGGATGCAGTGCTTACCCTTGAACGCACACAAGCACAGCAGGCTCATGTTAGCTTGTTACCATGTGCGAATGGCACCAGCAGAGGGCTGTCACGTATCGTAAATAGTTACTTAAATCTAGTACATTTCATATCGTACATGTATCCGATGGGGGTGAGTTTTACTTTGAAAAAGCAAAAGCGGAGATCGGTTGGTTGCAAGACATTTTGGAAGGCGTCGCGCCCCGATGGCACACAAACGGGATGAGCCACCCACCTTGTCTGCGACCTCTCGCACCGACTGGACGCTGGTTCCGTAGAGGTGGTTGTTGTACTGTCCCGCTTCGATGAACTTGTGCTCCTGGATGTCCTTTTCCATCTGCTCGCGGGATGCCACAAAGTGATAATCTCGAGCATCCACCTCGTAGTCCCGTTTGGGTCGTGTGGTGTCTGTAAAGATACAAGCGTTGTGCCAGGGGAAAAAAAACAAGACAAAAAGGCTTGGCCGGGAACTCACGTGGGACACACGACCCAAACTTGTCCGGAAATTCCGAGATGAGGTCGTCGTTGATGCGGTCCTTCATGGGTCCCAGGATGATGACCGGTCGTGCGTAGCCCACTGGATGAGGAAAAGATGCCGGGCGTCAGGAAAAGGCGTTGGTGCATCCGTGCGATGCCAACACCAATGCACGACACCTTACCTTCCTGTTGGGTGACGGCTTCGTACGACAGGACAAACTCCTCCTGGCCACCTGCTGACAAACGCTCGAGTTGATTCCAAATCAAACTGACGGAAAACTACCAAAGGGCTGCCACCAGCAATTATTCCAAATTTTTTGGGGGTCAATTAATTTAGTAATTGTCAACATGGATTTTAGTAATTAAGTCAACATGGATTTTCCAGAAACAAACACGTCCATGTGGGATGCTGGTTTGTTTTTTTGTCCACTTGGGAGCTGCTAACCGCGCTTTCGACACTGTAGCATCTGTGACGCCATGAGTGACGTCCTCAGAAGTGACGTGATGGTGTCAACGCTGTGACAAGAGCAAGAGAGAAGTGGCGGGATTCCACTTACGGTAGCTGCTTTCGCTATCGCTGGCGTTGGACGTGGCGTGTTCTGAAAGGACAAAGCGGGTCAGCGGTCAGTCAAGAAATCGACAGCAGATCAATCCGGCCACGAGCGCGGCGACGAGGTAACGCGTCGGAAAAGTTTGCGGTTGGAAAGGCTTTCTGGGGAGGAAAAAAAATAAATAAAAAAGACTTGATGAGCAGGAGGCGGGGCCTGAAGGACGGCCCCGCGCCGGCGTCATCTTGACAACAGCGATGAAGGCTCCTGGTGGTGGTGAGGAAGGAGGAGGGGGCGGGGTTTGTAGGTTGGCGTCTGCCGCCAACCTTGGGGATGGTGAACGCTACTTGTTGGATGCTGATTCAGGCCAAGCGCCACCAGTTTCATCCACACTTCTCAACTAACGCTTTCACATTAAAAGAATATGAGACCAAAACAGAAAGGCAAATGTCTTCAATGGACAACAAAAACCAAATAATTGATCTTTGTTGTTGCGGTACTTTGGGAGGGGTCTTAATGGCAGTCAGTCCACTGCCCTGCCAGAAAATGGTGAGCTTTTTTTTTTTTTTTTTGCCCCCTACACGTTTCCTGACATTGGTAGGGCCAAATTGTGGGTGGAGACCAGAGCACAAATAGGAGGCAGCTTGGCAGAGGGATTGGAGGTGGTGGGGGGGCGGGGGTGGAGCGTGACTCACTGTGTCCTTTGGCAAGGAGGTCGATGGCGTCCTGAAGACGACAAGAGAAGAAGAAGCACAAACAGGAAGTTACGGCATCGCAGCGACAGAGCGAGAGAGCAGACGCGATGCGAGAGAGGATGACGCCGTTTGGGCCGGTCGGGTCCAATTGAGAGGGGGGAAGAAAAAAAACAAAAATAAAGTGGGTGGCCTCGTCGCCCTGACAACTGGGTCACCGGCTGATCTCTCTTCCTGTCGCTGACCGATGAGCACGCGGCGACAACCCCGGTGGCGGCTGCGGCCGGCGGGCCTCGTACTCACGCTCCACGTCGCTGCTGTCCTGCTCGCCGCCGCCGTCGCGACTCTTCCCGAACAGGAAGGACCTGGCCAACACGCCTTTTCTACGCTTGTCGCCCGACGGCTACAGCAAGCACACATGAGAGGGACAGGAAGTCGCCGCAACGTCAAACGCTGACTGTCACTCAGGGTCAGCGTGCTGACATCACCACGAAGGAAGAACAGGAAGAACCGCTCCACGTGCACACTCTCACACAAAAAACACTCTCATACGAAAACACATGCGCAAGTGACATGCACACAAGACTGTCCCTGTGTCAGTCGCACGCACACACAATTACTCTCCCTCCCACTCACATACATAACTCTCAGGCATAGACACTCACATACACACTTCTCTCACAGAACCACTCTCTCACAAAGACACTCAAGAACACACAGTGAACATTCACACATATAACCAGTCTGACACAGAATCATACACACAGCGCACACTCTCATGTAACTCATATTCTCTCACACACACATATTACTTCACACAAACTCACACACGAGCAAACTCGCATGCATTCTCTCACACGTGCACACACATTTCCTCTGAAACACGCACACGGTAAGGTGAGGAGGCAGGGCAAAGAGGGGTGCAGCCATTCCAAAGGAGAGAAAAGCGTTGCCATGGCAACAGTGCAAACAGGTGAATATTTGCCTATTCAAATGTTTGGAGGAGGCGTGGCTCCATATGAGTAATGAAGACGATGAAGAGGAAGATGAGGCAGACATCCACGTCATGGGTTATGTTGGGTCATGCGCTTTTGTCAGCCAGGCCATTAGCGAGCAGTCGCAACGCTCCCGCCCGCCGCCGCCGCCGGGATGCTCAAAGATCAGCGACATGCGGTTAAGAGTAGCTCGGGGATGCTTTGGTTGCACACGCGCTCATTAGTATGCGCCGCTAGTAGACAGCATGGCAAAATAAACCCCCAAAACATTGCGATATTTTGACAGCATCGAACAGAAACTTACACCAAAATCGATGGTACAAACAGGAACGGCTTCTCTTTAGACTCCTTTTGTAGCTCGTATGCTACATGTTAGCATGCTAACAGAAGATCTAATATGATGAATCGGAAGGGCTAACGTGCTACATGCTAACACAACAGGTGCTACAGAGCGAGCTAAGTGACCACATGCGAACCGAACTGATAAAAGGAAGAGCTAGCACAGCAAAAAAAAAAAAAAAAAAAAAAAAAAGTGAAGGCTTTGCACTAACAAAAAACTGTGATGTCAAGCAGGGGGCCGAAAACGGCCCGCGAGTTTAAGACCCCTGCTTTACATGCTAACATATCAGCTGATGTGAGACAGGTGTAACAAAAAACAGCTAATCTGCTACATGCTAAGTTAAGTTCTAACATGGCAGGTGCTAAGCAACCACAAGCGGGGCGAATGTATTAAATGCTTCAATGTTAAGTGCCAAGAATTAGTGGGCAACATGCTCGGATGCTAAGAGAACGAGCTACATGTGCTACATGCTACGATTGCTCGAGGCGGCGATGTGGCTCCACTCACCCCTCGCTCTCGAGACTTCGGGTTGAACTTGACCGTCTTCAACCTCGCTCGCTCTTTCTTCTCCACTCTGTCAATCAAACCACTTCAAAGTCACCACTAAGCGTGTGTGTGTGTGTGGGTGCATGTGTGGGTGCGGCGCGTGCGGCTTCCGACCTCCTCTTGCTGGGTATAACGCCGACCTCTTGGACATCTCCGGGGGCCGTCATGTGACGCGCTTGCCACCACTCGTCATCGGAAGCGTTAACCACGTGCAGGATGTCCCCAAATTTGAAGTTGAGGCCCTGACTGGGAAGACCCGAGTCCCGAGTCCTGTCGTAGTCAAACAGTGCCCTGCGCGGGATGGCCGGCGTTGGGCCGCATATCAGGAGGAGGAGGGGGAAGAGGAGGGCGGCGAAGGCGAGGCAGTCGCTCGTCTGACCTGACGTAGAGCGACCTCTTCTGGCTGGTCCTGAGAGATCCCGATCCGGAGCTGATGCTGCTGTTCATCATCTGCTCTCTCAGGTCGTGGATCTTGGCCTCAAAGCGGCCGTACTCTGCACGGGAACGGACACGCGTCAAGCCAAACGGTCTCGGTACGCAACTTGCCCTTGGCCACCCTCACGTCATGCACGAACGACACTTTTCAAAATTGCACCGAGTGGCCTGACTTCTCTCATGCAACAGTGGAAAGTCAAAACTCAAGTGCGTTGCTATCCTAACATTGTAGTGTCATTTTTTTTTTTTGGATGGAACCGCAAACAACATTTCAAAAAAGTTGTCATGAGCGAGTAAGACTTCTCACTCTATTTTGACCCGGTGACGCACTCCGTCAGACTGAGCCGGCACGTCTTTTTCCAGCACGCTTGCGGTGCGGTGACTCACCCTCAGGCCTGTAGTGCGCCATGATGGTGACCGTCTGCCCGGCGTTCTTGAGCGCGGCGGCAGCCTGCTCGTGCGTGGCGCTGCGGAGGTCTACGCCGTTCACCTGCACACACACGCGCGCATATGCATTATGCCAAGGGTGTCAAACTTGTTTTCGTCATTTCGGGTAGAAGCCACGCGAAAAAGCGCAGCTCACCACGCATTTTTTTTAATGTTGACACTTCGGTTCACGGAGTAAAGGTGCGGACAGATCAAACGCATGTTGAGCGTTTCTTGCGGCGCCATCCCCCTATAAAGTCGCATCGACAAGCGCGACGCTGATGACGTTTGAGGCGCTGCGAGTGGGGGGAAGCACCCGCAAATTTGCTTCTTCGCCAGCGTTTGAAAATTTGAACTCGAAGTCACATCGGGTCACGACGGTGACGATGAGAATGTGCTGACAGATTCTGACTGCGGGTGGCCGAGACCGAGCCAAATAGAAGCAGGCTCAGAGAACAGCGAGTCAGGAAGGTGGTGTTTCTGGTGAGCAGATTTATTTTGTTTACAACTGTCAATCAGACAACATTTAGCATTAGCAAGCATCAAACTTTTTTTCAGGGTTTTTTTCTCCAAGTGAAGCACCTTAGTTACTTAGACTGAGTTGTACAAAACAAACAAACAAAAAAAGAAAAAAAACGCCCACGGACCAGATTGTTTACAAACCAGCGTTAGGGTTCCCTCAAAGGAATTGCCCCGAGAGTTTGAGACGTGCGCGTCAGGCACAGTGTGACTTACGGAGACGAGACGGTCGCCCTTCCTCAGCTCCCCGCAGAGGTCGGCGGGTCCTCCGGCCAGGATGAAGGAAATGAAGATGCCTTCGCCGTCCTCGCCGCCCACGATGTTGAAGCCCAGTCCCGTGGTGCCGCGGTGCAGGACTACCTTGCGGGGTTCCCTGCTGGAACAGGAACAGGAACATAGGTGCTTTGACAGGGTGCCTTGCCACCCCAGTTGCCGCCCCTACTGTTGGCAATCAATCTAGCAATACTACATTTAACATTTTATTATACTGTAAACCACAGGTGTCAAACACAAGGCCCGGGGGCCAGATTCGGCCCGCCATGTCATTTTATGTGGCCCTCTAAAGGAAATCGTGGGTGTCAACTTCCATGATGCTTGCTAAAATCTGTACCGAAACGCCAAATTGTCACGTGTAATAAATAATGAGATTTTGTCATAATTTTGCAACCCTGTTTACACTCACTTGAACAGTAATTGAAAAAAAACAACAATAGTTGACTGATTTCAAAACTAGTAAGCCAATATTTTTTTTGGTGTACAAGCAATAATACGATGTGATAATGAAACGTTAATTCAGTTTTTGTCATCATGGCCCTCCGAGGGAAGACGTAACTCCAAAGTGGCCCGCGACAAAAATGAGTTTGACATCCCTGCTGTAAACGTTCCACATCTCTATAGTGTGTGTAAATGTTTAACTCAACAGTTTAGAATTTACTCCATATTAAATATTGATTAATTCATCCATCCATCCAATTTCTAATTCGCTTATCCTCGGCCAATAGGCAGGTGACACCCAATCGCAGGGCACACATCGATGAACAACCACCCGCGCTCACAATCACACCTAGGGACAATTTGGAGTGTTCCATGAACCTGCCATGCATGTTTTTGGAATGTGGGAGGAAACCGGAGTACCCGGAGAAAACCGACGCAGGCACGAGGAGAGCATGCAAACGTCACACAGGAAGACCGGAGCCGGAATCAAACCCTGAACCTCTGCACTGTGAAGCCGGCGTGCTAACCAGTCGACCACTGTGATGCTTAAACATTAATTCATGTTCTTATTAATTTCATCTTTAAAGTTTAGATCAGGATGTCAAACTCATGACCCGAGGGACATTTGCCGGCCCCGCAGGATGATATTTTGAAGAAATTGAAATATTAGTACTGCGCCCACCTTTTTTGGACGGACTGGCGGGAAACGTAAGAGCCTCGATTGCGGCCACCATTCAGATTTCGACAAAGGGCAGAAAAAAGGTGCAGCGTTACCGTGAGACGTCGTCATCTCCCAACATGCCCTTGGGCGTCGGTGAGTAGCGTCCGGATGCGGCTGGTGGAGGGAGGGGCTGAGACAAGAAGTTGGGGGCGTTGATATGATTTTCCAGGTGCTGAGCGAACGCTAAGGAGGCAAACACGCAGAGACACGCGGTCAGGTCGACAAGTAACGAGGCCGTGCGGAATCGTGAAGAAAAAGTTCAGAAAGCGTGAGAAGGAAACGGAAGCTTGAAGAAAAAGCAAAAACAGGAGTGAAGAACAAACAGGGAACATCATGAAAAATGAATAGAGCAAAATGAAAGAAGAGCTCAGGTGGAAAAACAAGATGAAGGAATAGTGAAGGAAAGGAAGAACAGAAGACAACAGGAAAAGAGAAGTAGAAGAAAGAAGAAGTGTGATGAAGAAGTAGAGGCGTGAATGTTTACGGCTGTCGAGGAGGTGCGAGTCCAAAGTGTCGCCGATGAAGACGTTGTTGGGCTTGGCCACTTGGAGGTAGACCACGTCAGGCGTGTTCTTCAAGGCCGTGACGGCGTGCTCGTGGGTCACCTCCTCCAGACAGCAGCTGTTGACCTGCGCGCGCCGACGCCACACACGTCACACTCACACGAGCCCGCGCGAGGCCGCCGCCGCCGCGACCGGCGCTCACCGCCAGAAGCTTGTCCCCGATCTGCAGCCGCGCATCCCTGTGGGCGGCGCCGCCCTCGATGATCTTGGTGACGTAGATGCTGTTGTCGCCCGGGATGTGCTGGTTGCCCACGCCCCCGGCGATGCTGAAGCCCAGACCTAAAAGCAACGCCAAGGCAATCGAATCACTCCGGAGGCGCCTCCCCGGAGCAAAACCCCGAAGATGATTCCGCCTACCTTTGGGGCCCTTGACGAGTTTGATGTCCATGACTTTGTCGCCCATCGGCTTCCGGCGCCGCACGTACAGTCGCACCAGAGAGCCCGCCTCCTTCAGCGCCTCCACGGCGCGACTGTGCGTCACGTCGCGGACGTCCACGTCGTTCACGCGCAGGATCACGTCGTTCACCCTGAAAACGGCAAACGCAGACACCCGGTTGACAGTGAATATCACTTCCCGAAAAAAAAAAAAAATACCGTATTTGCAAATGCAGGTACATCTTTGTCAGTCTCCGTGCCTTCTTCAGTTCGACTCGAGAGGCGTTCATGGCCGCATCCGAAAAACGTAAATTAATGATTACCTCAATGAAACCACGAAGAAAATCAAGCAAGGAAATCACAAAATAAATTCTGTAGGGGCGTGGATATAGAATTTATTTTGTGATTTCCTTGCTTGATTTTCTTCGTAGTTTCATTGAGGTAATCATTAATTTACGTTTTTCAGAGGTGGTCATGAACGCCTCTCGAGTTGAATGGAAGGAGCGTAGCCCCATCTAGTGGAGGCATTGTAGATTGCGCCTTATAATGCGATGCATGCAATGTATGGAAAAAAATTACAAAATAGCCATTCATAATCCAGTGCGCCTTTTAGTGCAGAAAATACGGTATATATATATTTTTGTCATGCATGACGAAAACAACCCTGCTTTGACCTACAGAAACTACGAAAGCAAAACTGATTGCGGGGAAAAAAAAAAAAAAGGATCGAATGTCATCAAACAGGAGAACGCTGGGGAGTTCTTGGCAAAGACGATCAGGTAACGTGTTGCATAATGCACACGCCGGTCAAAGCGAGCCCGGGGGGGTTCGCGACTAACACGCACCTGAGGCGTCCGTCCTGCGCGGCGGCGCCCCCCACGATGACTTTGGTGATGAAGATGCTGGGGTCCTCGCCGATGTGGGGGTTGTCGATGCCTCCCGCAATGCTGAAGCCCAGGCCTGAGTTACCCTATCGGACGGACGGCCGGCGGTGTGACATCATTACGAGCGAGCACCAAGAGGAGCTTCCGAAAGAGCGCACACTCACCCTCTCCAGCGTGATCTCCTCGTACTCGTAGTCGGCCTCGGTGCCGTTTACCTGCGCACACGCGCAGGAGGTCAAAATTAGTTCAACAGCACCAGAAGAAGGAAAAACCGTGTTCACGTCCCGTGGGAGGCGTGACACTCACATAAGGGGGCGTGTCCAGGCTGTCGGCGTTGATCAGCACAGGAGGAGGGTTGGCCTGAACAAAAAGAGGATACAAATGTCAATCAAGAGCCGCAAGGTCGGAAGGATGACTTTGAATTTATATTCAACTCTTTAGGAATCATAGTTTGAGAATTTCCGCCGTGAGCAGCGGGCTTTGCTGGCTCGCCGCGGTTGAGCGTGACGGGTGTGAAGAGGAGCGGGCCGTCATGCCGGTGACCTCTGTTACGCAAGAGCACCCCAGCACGCTGGCGGCAGGACGGGCGACGCTTTGCTGTGAGGCCGCCGGGCCCCCGGTGGCTAAAATTAGCACGCGGAGAGCGCATTGATCAACTTCAGAAAAAGCCGACGGATCGATCACACACTTGTTAGCTCTCGCAATAAAACAGCGGATTCACTGAAAGCGCCCTTCTGAGTTGCTCTGAAAATAATCATCGTTCTTGACGACAAATAATGCGCCTGTCAATGGCAATGACATGTTGGGAGAATTCTTTATGTGGGATTTTTTTTCCCCGCACTGAATAACCCAAAATGTCAGCAAAGATCGTTACAGTGTGAAGACCAGAAAACCGGGGCGCATGGAAGACTTGAGTACAAAAGAAAATCAGCTTTTCAATGACAGTTCAGTTTGTTTGTTTTTTTTAAAGTGGGCAAGCATATAGACGAGCGCGTATAACGCGGGCAAAAATGAAAAGTAGAGCTGCTGTAAACAAGCAAATGACAAAAGACGCTCAGCCAACTGCACGCATGACTTGGGTCAACGCTGCCGACAAGTTGCCACGTGAAGCTGGTTGGCCAATTTGTCAAGTTGACCATCAGCGTTTGAAACGCTCCAGTTCACGCCTGCACGCTGGCCTACGGTTCTGTCCACCAGTGCGCCTCCCGGACTACGGAGAGTGTCACGTCACGCAAAGACGCCAACCCCGATGTGCCGATACGCCAAGATGTCGTCATTCTATTGATGGACTGACTGAAATCCGGCAGACCACAAAAGATGCCTGCACTCGCCTGTCGTTCCAAACAAGTAGAAACACCTCAACGAGGACTAAACCAGGACAAAGCCCGGTTTACAAACACAGTAAAGACATGAATAAAACTAGACCTAAAACTGTCTTTGGGCTTGACTACACAAGGGCTACTCCAAGCATAAAACTGGATTGAACAGTCCTAAACCTGGATTAAACCAGAACTGCATCTGGACTAGAATACTGGAATGGACTAAACCTGGATTTTGCTGCACCAATATTAAACCTGGAAAAAAACAAACATTAATATGGATTAAATTAAACCAGGCCCAAACTAGGACAACACTGGCCTTAATTTGGGTTTGATTTAGACTAAACCAAGGAAACCAGGACGAAAAACTAAATGGACTTGACCTGGAATGGGCCAGGACCAAACCTCGATTTTACTGTGCCACGCCTAAACCAGGATTAAACTGGGACTGAATTAGGATTAACCAGAGTTTAATTAGAATCAAACCAGGTCTCAATCTTGATTTAACAATGACTAAACCAAGTACAAACCTGGATTATAAACCAGGAGTAAACCTGGACTGGACCAAGACCACAGATAGACTTTACTGCACCACTGAGACTAAGGGTAGGATTAAATGAGCATGAAACTCAAATTAAACCAGGCTTTATCCAAGACCAAACCAGTATAAACAAGTATTAAATCCAGAACAGAGTGAAAATTCACCCATTTTGCCAACCTTCATCTACAACTTCAGTCTCCAGACCAAATAATCCTAAAGGGGCAAATGATCAGGTAGAAACGTGGAACATTCCAGGCCGTCAAGCGACGAGGTCGCAGGCAAGCCGTCAGAACTACCTTGACGTAGGCGAGGGGCACCCAGGGCGTGTGCGAGCGGCCGCCCGCCACCTTGGCGCCGGTCTTGGTGGGACTCTTCTTGACGCTGTCGCGCAGGTTGAGGAAGCGGCTGCGAGCGCGACACGACGCCGGCACCGCGCACGCGGTGAAGGTGGCCAGCGACGCTCGCACCTGCGGGTGAGCCCCGCACCGTGTGACGCGGGCGGCGTCCGGCGGACCCGCGGCCTTCCTGCCGGCGCCGTTGACGGCCTTGGAGGTGAAGAGCTGTCGCGAGGACATGGAGGAGATGCCCGGCGCTCGGTATAAATGCGATCCCGTGCCCGACGCGATGCGACGGTTGTGTGACATTGTGCCCGGCCGTGTGTGATGCCCGATGGCCTTCGGCAAGGGAGGCACATGTCAGCGCCGGGCCGGTCCGCCCTGCGTATGAATAATCGATGCTTCCCTTCAGCAGCCGCGTGCTCGTGTGCGTGTCTGTCAACACTTTGGACAAGGGAACGTGACCAGAGTGGTCGCACGCGGGAATCGGCTACGCGGTGACAACTCCAGTCGGCTTTTGCCTGTAAAACATCCGATGCACAAAACTTTCCATCAAGTTTTGTCGATTCAAAACTAACCTTGGATTCAACCTGAATTAGAGTAGCCCTTTAACATGGATTCGGTGAAGTCTAACTAAAATGAAACCTGGGTTTCACTCTGTACTAAGAAAAAAAAAAAGGGCTGCACCAGAATTAAAGTTGGATTCAAGCAACGTTCAAATGTTGCTTAAACCAAGACTAAAACTGGATTATATCTAGACTAAACTAACAGCAAACATGATGCATTAATCTGGATTAAACCTGAACTAATGCAGTCCGAAACCAGATCGATATCTGTCAAAGCCCAACTGGATTCATTCCAGTTTGCATATAAACCGAGTTGTGGCACAGACGAAGAAGTCACACTTGAGGAATACCAAAATTTATGCAAGAGATCCCACTTGATTTTTTTCATCTGCCTTCAGTACGATACAAACAAGCATTTTCATTTCTCGACTCCTCCATCGGGGAGTTGACTGAATACTTGGCTTGTTTACTTTCAAACTTAGTTTGGTGCAGATGTGTGTGGCACACGCTGTGATCATTGATTCTCTCCACCTTTCTCCAAAACCGCTTCAAACACAAAGCCGATAAAGAAATAGTTGTTACGATGTCTTCTGTTGTATTATTGTTATTTTATGTTAAAATGTTCTTTAAAGAGCTCTTTTAGAGCCGTAACGGTTGTGAAAGCATGTATAAATAAAGACGTATTGTACGGCAATGTCACATCGGTGGCCATGTTGCACTGCGTGTACACGCGTGTTCGTGTGAGCGGTTTATTGCCGCATGTCGGGAGGTTGCTAGGCAACGCCATGGAAGGCATGTGTTACTGCAGGCTTTCCTGACGTCTGCGCACGACACTGTGCTGATGTTTAGGGCCGCAAACACAAACGCGCAAAAGACAGATGACGTCAGCATACAAAAACTGGAGAATCTTCAACTTGCGCCAACAAGATGAGGAGTTCAATCTGGGCAAAGCAAAGCCAGGATTACGACACACCTCATCTGAGATTGCATCAAGATTAAAATGAGATTAGACAAAATCCAAACCTAGTTTACAACAGGTTAATCCGTGGAATAAACAAGATTGTATCACAATTAAAGGTGGACTGGACCAGGATTGCACCTGGACTGTATTACAACAGGACCAAATTTGGATTCAACCAGGTTTGACCAGTATTGGACACCATGTAATGTAAACTGTCTGACAAGCACACACCAAAGTGTGTCGCAGTTGGACCGAAACAAAGCAGGATTTAACCTGGATGAAACCTGTACTAAAACACCGATTAAAACGTGCCAAGAATTTAAACCAGGACAGCACTAAAATCTGAACTGACCCAGATCTAAACACAAAATAAACCTGGATTGAAGCAAGCGGAAACTAAGACTGCACCAGAATTTGACAGCTATTCAACATGGATTCAACCAGGACTTCTCCAGGACTAAACATGCACTCAAGCAGACATCAACCAGGATTAAACCTGGACTAAATCTGGATTGAAATCAAACAAAAGCAGTACTGGATCCTGTGTCAGCGACACCATTTCCTGCACATTGAGCAATACACAACAGCAACACCAATACGACAGCGTGCTACAACCCACATGTGCACAACTGTACGCGTGAGGAGGCATAAAATGCGACAGCGAAGGTGTGCAAAGATGGACGACACGCGATCGGCATGACGCAGCATCTTCACCCTCGTCTTCATCATTTCGGAGCGCCATGTGCGGTCTCCAGAGTGCATCACTTCCTCCCCCCCCCTCGCCTCCTCCGGGGGTGGGGGGGACCTACCGGCTGGTGGCGCTTGCTCCTCCTCAGAGTGGCCACGACGCGGCGACCCATCTTTTTAGCATGGCACAGCGAGTGGAGCATCCCTCGCTTGTTGCACATGAAAACAAAAGGTGGAGGTGGGGAGCAGACGGGGGTGGTGAAGGGCATCGATTCGTCGCAACCTCCGATCCTCCCCTCTCCTCATCCTCCTCCAAAACAAACACGAATGAGACGACAGCCGAGGAGACAAACGTAGACGTGCTCCTCCCTCCTCTTAAAGGAGGTGCACACAGACATTGCGGAAAAAAAGTGACCGTAAACCTGCACGGGCGGGAGAGCGTTGCAAGAAGACGGAGGCCGTCAAAGAGAGAGAAACGGAGGGAGAGAGACTAAAACAGAAGGCAAAGCGAAAAAGAGAATCAGAGTACGAGAAGTAGAGGGCGAATGAGGGCAAGGTGAGAGTGTGAGAAAGAGGACGAGAGAGAGAATAAGAGGAGGAGAGAGAGAGAGAGAGAGAAAAAATGAGAGTGAGACAGATTGAGAGGGAACAAGCGTGTGAGAGAGGATGTAAGAGGGAGCAAAAGAGTGAGAGACACCCAGAGGAAATAAGATGGAGAGCGAGGAAGACCGAAGAAGAGAGGGAGGGAGCCAATGAGAATGAGAGCAAGAAAAACAAAAAAAAAAAAAAAAAGCCAGGAAGCAAACGCAGACGAGACCGATGCTACTGTGTGCTCCGAGCGAATGCGAAAATGCGGCAGCTTGACGGCCATAAAACAACATCGCCGCTTCAATCGCGCCGGGCACCAAACAGAAAACGAGAAGACGAGGGCCTTGTCCTTCTCGTCTGACACAAAGAACCCCCAAAAAAGAGGAGGAGGACCATTGCTAGTCTTCAGGTAGTCGGTTGTCGTGCAAAAACTTTGGCTCATGCTAAATGCTAACGCTATCCTGGTTGAGATCTGTGCACAAGTCAGTCCACTCCCCAGACGGGCCAGGTGCCGTTTCGCCACGCTAACCGGACACCGGACAACGTGTGTGTTTTTGTTCGCTTGAGTGCGAAATGTGCTCAGTGGGCAGTTCGCACTTGGAGAGTCAATATTTTTGTTTTTCCTTTTAAAATCGCTCACCATGTTTCACTGCTTCCATCATTGCAAACATACCCGAGTAAACAAGTTAACTGTCATTGGTGCTGCTGGCAAAGTCGTCAGTCACGACTTGCTCTGGAAAACACTTCTTGCTGTTCAGAGGATCCCCCACCCCAAAAAAACATTTGAGTAGGACAGGTTTGGTTTTATTTTCGGCCGCTTCCTTATCAGGGTGTTTCTTTGATCCTTTTCGGATGCAATTATCAAGATAAAACCGCTCATCACAGACAGAAGGATCATCTTCTGGGTCAACTTTACAAGACAGTCGGGCACTTGACATTCTTGATCAGTAAGGAGAAATTTCAGGGCAAAAACAACCCGATAGTCTTCATGCGTGGAGCCGGCCGAAAGATGTTTTGTTTGCAGTCGGTGTCATACAAACGCGGTGCACACGCACGCGAACCATGTTTGGTTACCGGGGCAATGCCGAACTGGGGGGAGGGGGTGAGGGTTTACCTGGACAGGGGGGTAAGGGTTGGAGGAGCAGGACGGGAGGGGGCTGTCATCACCGTGAGGGTAGAGGGAAGAGGGTGCGGGGGAGGAGGGGAGCTCCGGCCGATCGAGTCCTAACGATGGTGACCCATCGAACACACACTCCAGCGATGCCACCTGTGGGACACATGCGGTACAACAGGCGGAGGCTGACACAGGGCAAGGACAGGGGGTGGGGGGGGGGCGGTGCATCTTCAACCACCAGGGCTGAGACACTTCAAACGTGACGACTGCACGGCGAGTGTATCTTCTGAGATCTGCTTCAGTGCGACGACGTGTTTGCACGCATGACATCACAGTGACATTATCACCGGACGGAAAATGTGCTTGAACTAGGGGAACACTTTGAAATGACTTCGGCATCAGCCTGAAGGCATTTTTGGACAAGCTGTTCCTCTGACTGGAGCATTCATTTGGTTTTTTTTTTTTTTTTTTTTTTTTTTTAAAGATTAGTTTTGAAGCATCAAATGGAACAGCAAGGGCAGCCATGCAAAGTTTTTCTTTGAAGCATTAATGCGTGCAAATGTTTGTTTTGCCTTGTTTACCGAGACGAATACACAGTGTGTGATAACACTCGCAATCAACACGAGTTTGGCTGACTTCTGACTCCGATTAGCTTTCAGAGAAGCTAGTCGCTAGCCGAGGGCTTGATGTACTTTTTCCAACCTGCTTTGTGAACGTTTACAAGTTGTGCTCAGTAAAAACATCATGGGTTGGTGTTTTATGTGCACAAACATGTTTATCACCTGACTGACATGAGCAATTAAAAAGGAAATGAAAGTCATTTCAAAAGAGTTCACGACATTTTTCTTGCTACTGTCTATCAATTAATGGGTTTCCCTTCACGGCGTTATAAACCTTGATTTCCAGCAAAACAGGTACAGGAAAGAGGATTGTATGAGCAAAGTTTCCCGGATTTTCTTCCAAGAATTGAGACCAAGCATTGCTGTTCACATTTGCCAAAGTGTGGTACCTTCATCGGGGAGATGTGCGCATGGGTGACGTATCCGTGCACATTCTCGATCTGTGACAGGTTCTTCTCGGCCACCTGGACCAGCTCCGGAGCGCCCGCCTCCTCCGTGAGCTGCGGGGAGCTCTGGTCCTCCGGAGGCGACGAGTCCTCATCATGGTGCCGGTACTTCTGAAACACCACAAGGGGGAAACGGTTAACATCTTTGCTGCCTGCCCAATTTGGACAGACGCCAAGTAATTGCTGAGTGATTCAAGCAGAGTCCTCTACATGGAAACGGAACACACGTCAAGAAGATGGGCGTAGAAAAGTGGAGCAATATAGTCTAGGAAAGTGTGCTCCGAAGCAGCCTTCGATCTGGACCCGTCTCCATGGAAACAATGGCCAGATTTGAAGGGACGATTGGAAGGCCGCATGAATTTGGACACTGGCGTGCTGTCCGAGCGCGCCTGAATTTGAGTCATGTGGCCTTCCATTTTGGACACGGCTTCTGACATCACTCAGCAGGCCAGGCCACGACTTTTAAAGGCATTCAAAGTCACAGAAATTACCGTGTAAAATGTGAGGATGGCGACCCCAGAGGAACAAAAATAAATCTTACACCTCCTGTATCTGGGTTATTTGACAAAGAAAAAGAACAGCTGGTGCTTGAACTGTCTGCTTCCTTTCCACTGCCTGACACACTGGGCTCCACTACTCCTTTTTTGGGAGCACTTTGAAGAACTGAACGGCACTTTTGAACAATGTTCTGATTGCCAAACGCTCGGATGATGCATTTTTTTTTTTTTTTACTAGTCGAATTTAAATACGGTTCTCACATCATAAACTTGGCCTTCATAACTTGATGATGTCTCCCCTCACAGGTGCTTCCCACTGAAATCGTCACATTAGCGGGGGAAAGAAATGGCGGGCCGCCACAGCGGCAGATAGAACAGCAGGAGGCCGACCGAGACGGAGAATGAGGATGGAGGACGAGCTTGAAATGGGATGAGGTGAGCGGTCTGCTCGGAATCACAGCAATGCGACATTTGCACGACACGAACGAGGAACATGACGACACAGCGACAGCCTTGTACTCAGAAGCCAGGCGGGACGTGTGCGGGGGAGGACGATCGAGAGCCTCTTCAGCAAGGGGAGCATGAGGAGGAGTGCTGACTACAGGCTGACTAAAGATGCTAAAAATAACAACATCAGCAGATGTAGCAGGAAGAGGACGAGGAGGAGAGTGAAGAAGATGTTTCGGGGATGAGACAAAGAGCAACGCAAACCAAGGGCCGAAACGAAAGTTTCATCACACGGAGACATGAATAAAAATCATCCTTCGAAAAAAGCCCAATTCAAATCAGTGATTAGGCAAACAGCAGACGTTCGATTGTCCCACTCAAATAACTGACAGTGAACTCACCACATTATGGATTCTTAATTTTGAACTCCAAAAAACGAAAACATTGTTCAAGATTTGCATGGTGCACCTTCAGCTTTTTTACGATTTACTGAGTGTTTCAACATTTGAGGCGCACCAACAAAGTGATTGTCAAACTAATGGACAACCATTTTGATAATCGATTCTTTTTTTTTTTTTGAGACATTAACTGAAAAATAATTGTGTGGTCTTCCATAAAGCAGATTGATGCTGTTTTTGCGGAATCAAAATACGAGACATTTACAGACCTCTGCTTTGATCTACCAAAATTTTACAATCAATAAATAGGTAAATTTTTGCAGATCTTAAGATGGGTGTTAGGCTGACCAAGTAATCAGTGGGTGGGGGGGGGGGGGGGATACTCGTAGGTTTTCCTGCATTCGCAATCACACACCCCCCCACTCACTCCCCAATCACTAGAAAGGGATTTTTAGAGGACATGTTAGGGATTGAAGTGGCCAATTCAACCTCACACAGCATTTTGATCGACTGTTATTTTGGATGAATCTTGCCACGCTGCTATTGGAAGTTTAGCTTCTCCTAGCAGCCACTCTTCATTAGCACACTTTGCATGTCCGCCCTCGACCAAGCGGCGCTACCTGAAAAAGTTCCCAAAAGAGACCGGCTTCTTTCATAAGGGAAAAAATGAGTGAGGGATGAGCGAACGACTGCAAAGGCAAAGATGAAACGAAAGAGACGAAGAGAATGGTGACAAAGAATAACATGAAACTGTTTCACTCCAATTTGATGGTGGTTTTTGGGCCAGATTTTCTATGGGCGATATACAAAAATATTCCCCCAAAAAGGCAATTTCTTCAAACACAAAAACACTCAATTTCTGCAGAACTTAGGTCCAAATTTTCAAAATTGTTGGTGGAATCAGGTTGAAGAAGCCATTCAAACCGCACTGAGAATTTTGACAAACATTTGTCACATTTCTACATATAACAACTTCAGCCGTGGAAAGGGTACGAGTCGGACAGCTCACGTACATCAGTCAAAGATTTTAAAGCCCTTTCAATCGCTCCTTCCATGTTGTGTTTTTGTTTGGAAAATTATGAAAGAGAGCGACTACAGTTTGCTACTCATACCATTGTTGGAAAAGTTGAAGCAGTTTGAAACACTGACTTGTACAAACCGCCGCACGCTCTGAAACCAGAAACCGAATGAAGCTGTAATTTCACAGGGTCCAAGTTGGAGCTCAACGGAACGGCACGTGGGCGCACCAACCTTGCATCCAAACATGAGCGAGACAGTGCTGTTGGTGCACGCCACTTTGCAGTGGCACAACACGGGTGAAAAACACTCCAGCTTCTTGGCGGCGGGCGCCATCTTGTCATTGGCCGACGGCCGCCTCCTGCCGGAGCGTCGGCGCCACCTTGCGCGCCGTCCGCCCCCCCTCGCGCCCGCACCTCCGGGGCCACCTACGCCCTCGCCTCCTCCTCCGCCTCCACTGCTGCTGCTGCTGCTGCTTTCTGCCCTCACCATCCGCCCTCATTCCTCGCGTTGCTCCATGGCGGCCAGGGGGAACGCGATCATCCCGGAGAGCTTCCTTCATTCAGGGAGAAGCCCCCCCACCCACACTCCTCTTCCACTACCACCCCCCACGCTTGACTCCTCTACCTCTTCTGGTTGGTTGAAGTCCTCCTCGCCTGTCGAGCTTCTCATTGGCGTTCGTCTCTTCACTGTGTGCGTGTGATGGTCCTGGCGCGGGGGGAGATCGAGCGTGGTCACATGACTCACGAGAAGCTCGGTGGGCTATATCCCGAGGGAAGGTAGAGCATGTAGGATGGAGAAGGGAGATGAAGTGGTAGGAAGTGACATCACACTAAAAAATCAGCAAAAATAAAATAAATAAAAGCGTTTCCACGTCACTTTGCGACACCCGCGCACTTCTGTGTAGATATAGGCAGCATAGATCTGATGTGACACTCCATCACAGGAGGCGCCCGCTCCACCTCCTCCTCCTCCTGCCCTCTTTGCCATAGCAACAGCAGCAGATGATCATGGGGAATGTAGTGCGTAAGGGGCACGCACGCAAGAGACACTGATAGTAGCTGACAGGTTGCGATGTGATGACCACTTTCTAAATTTACCCTCACTCCATGTGTGCGTGCGCATCCCTCACATGACCCAGTAAGCGAGTGCGCATGCACATCCGTACGAGTGCAGAACAGGTTTGTGTTCTTGTTGGGGGAGTCGCCTTCCACAAAAGGATGAAGAGCTTCAAGGGCTAAAGCACCCAATGCTGCACACGCGTTTCAGTGCAGACCACGACCGCCCGTGTATGCCCGCGCACACGCACGCACGCACGCACGCACGCACCACAACAGGGGGTTATTCACTGTAGCAAATTCGATCTCAGATGTAAACACACACACACACACACACACACAAAATGTCAGTCACTAGAGGGCAGCAGCCGGCATATAGTCTTGATGCCCTGATGGAAGAACCTGGTCCTGGACTTAGCAAATCCGTGCATTAGTCCTTCATTCATACGTATAAAAAAAAAAAAAAAATGGAACAAAAACATACTAAATTATTTTCTCAATATTCCTTCCAAAAACCAAATTTTAAAATGGGACAAAGAATAATTTTTCCCATTTTCTGCACAAATGAAAAGACGAAACTGACGATTCGGACGTTCAATTTGAATGTTTTTCTATATGGCACAAGTTGCATGGGTCGAAAGGCAACTTGAATGGGAAGGGAGCTTTCACTTGATTTTTGTTACTTGGTCGTCTTTGTCCTCTCCTTCAGGTGAAAGTTGGCTTCTTTTTCATGCAAGTACCAATGTATTGTATTGGGCCAAGAGCGGCCTTGTTTTAAGGTCTCGGATATCGTAGAGTCTGCTGATACTAGTTACTGATACTTAAAAAAAATAATAATCTGATATCCAGTTAAGTCCTCTTCGGCAGTAGTGCTACACTGCGGCAGTCTGACACATGGGTGAATCACCATTTGAATCAGAAAGAAAAGGCCTTCCTTCGAAATATTTTGTTATTGTGTTCAGTGAAATTTTATATATCAAAAGGACTAGGCGTGTCCATAAACTGGAAATGCGAAAAACGAGTCATTATCTGTTTCCATTTTGGTTTGAGGAACGAATACTGAGAAAACAAGTCATTACTTGCATTACGGTTCACGAAAAATTATTTTGCAGAAAAGTTTAATGCAAAACATGCAGCCCGATTTTCCTTCCTTTCACTGGTAAAACTGATGCGATATACCGATATGATATATGAGAGTTACAAGCCCGATCACATAACGAAGCAAACTGAGAAGACCAAATGTGTTTCCACGGCAACACGATGCATGTCGCGTTCTGCTGATTCACCACATTTGGCCTGGATCTCGATCGCGGCTGGCTTTTCTGAATGTTGGGCATGGTTGCCACAGCAACTGCCAGCCTGGGCTCACCTGCATCTCACCCTCGCCCCCTCAGCTGGCTTCAAAGTTTCCCCTGCAGGGCAAGGACCTGATCATCATCGTCATAACCAACTGCCACGCCCTTCACGCAAGCCTCACAGTCCCACTTGGGAGTGAAACTTGTGCATGGAGGAAGAAAAAGATCGCCGTCGGAGGAGGAGTGGCTGTTGCCACGGTAACGGTTCCACTTAACATTAAGCTGAAAGTGAGGTCAAGTCACAAAAGTGTCAATATAACTATTTTGATGTTGTCCTTGACTCTGTTCCATTGATGACTTTACATTAGGTAAAATTACTGTGACAATAGTAGCACTCGTGATGTCCTGGTCTCGCCCAATGAGAAGCCAACTCCAACAGTGTGACGTCACCATTTGCCGCTGCTCACGTCACCGACCACAACCAGGCTCCGTTAGCCAACTGCAGCATTGGAGCAGCACAAAGTTGTCAGCAGGCGCGGCATGCCGCCTCGACTAACCTCCTTGCTTCCTTCAACGGGAGACGACGTGGCCAGACAATCGGTACCGTTTAAAAAGAGCGACCGAGTGACGACGCGAATTCCTCGGTTACCTTGGTAGTGACGATACAAATACAGTCCATCGCTTCGTGCCCGGCCCCACCGCAGCGAAGCGCCTCATCAAGCGCACGCTCCGAGCGCAATCAGCGAGTGAGCCAGCAGCCTCAACGAAGAGCCGCCTCGTTCCTCCGTGGGAGCAGCCGAAGCCGCGCGGAGGTCCTGCCCGCTGCTGGCGCCGCATTTGCGGCCGGTGGGAAATCGCAAAGCTCCCCCACGAGGTCTCCCAAACGCAACGCCTCGCTTCTTACAGCAGTGGGTTGTTCAATTTTAAGTAGCCTCTCAAGAAAAAAACGTGGCTCTCCAAGCAGCACTATCGTGGCCAACATTCAGTACAGTCTAAAACGTTTGATGTTGTGTGTAAAAAAAGCTTAGCGTGGCTTTATGTTACAAAACCACGACCAACCTCCACTTATTCCCACTTCAACATCTAAAAATAAATTTACTCAACTCGGCTGTACTTACACAGCACTTTAAAACCTCCCCATAGATGTTCGCTTTAGAGAAAAAGCTTCTCATGGCTTAGTACAGGAAAAGCACAATAAATGTAGTTGTTTTTATTTTTTGTTTTGTCTTTGACATCGTTGTCTTGATTTGTCTTAAATAAAAAAATAAAATCCTGAGCCCCCACCCAATAAGCTTTAAGGAGCTTTTCGTTCACATGTGGTTGGATGGCAAACTTTTGTAATACTTGACAATAGTCCTAGACTACATATAGAATAGTGCTAGACTCAACTCCAAACATAACAGAAACAGAGCAAAAGCCGAATGTAACTAAACGATAACTGGACTAGACCACAACTACAATTAGTCAAGTGCTAGACTAGGCTAGTCCGACACAAATGTCGCCTGTACTGAAAGCATCCAAATTTCCCATGGCAAGAAACGTATCCAACTGTTGCTCCTATTCTACTTCTTGCTGCCACGCGGCCTCACACAGAACGTGGAGTGCAAACGCATCATGTCTGGGGGTGTGGGCGCAACTCCAACGCGCACACGCATTTACATGCTGTCATCGCCGCGTCGAGAGAGGGTCCACGTGAACACCTACACCCTCACAATCAGGTCAAAGTTTACGTCAGGACAACAGATGCCTCACACACAAAAAAAGACAAACAAACAAACTAACGCAAGCACGCACGCACACACAACACACACCCACACACAGCCCAAACAGGCAAGTGTGCACACACATAAACACACCCACACCATCCTGCACACAAAGAAACACGTTGACACGCATACGACACATCCACACACAAATGCATGCACGCATTCACAATGGGACACGCACACACGCAGTCAGTCCACCGACATGACAGCGAGATGCAGTGGCACCACCTCGACTTTAGTGAAGTGGTCCCCAAACCTTCCGTGTATTTGATGCGTCATGACATCATCAACAGGAAGTGGCTGATCATGAAAGTACGTGACAAGACAAGGACGCCGGTGATGGCCTCAACATGTCGCTGGCGGCTACCGGAGACCCACGCTAATCGGCGTGCGCGCCGCTGCGACATCTTCAGGTCGTCTGCGCTCGTGCACAAGCTGCCAGCAAGCACGGGCCCCGCCCCCTTGCATGCTCCCACCGAGATGATTGGATGCGACATGCGGAGGCCCGCCTACCAATGCTCCCTCGCACTACTTACTTGAGTGTCACACTTTGGTGAGCGCGAGGCCTGCCCCAACACGTGCAGGATTTCATTTAGAAGGGCCGAGTCCTGCCGTTGGCGGCGGGGGACACAGAGAGTGTGTGTTCATCATCAATATCATCATCACCGTGGGTAAAAGATCAAGTCAGTCAAATTCAGTGGAATCTGTCACGGTCACCATGGCTAACCCTCGAAAGTTTGTTTCCACTTTACGAAAAAAAGACAACAGCAGGGTAAATTGCAAAGACGATATTTCACCGAAGGGAGGAAACACTGCCAATGTGCAAGCGTATTTGCAAACACAGCACGTGATAACTTTTAGATGAAGTTTGCGCTTTTGATGCGCTCCGGAGTGCTCAACCGGAAACCAGCAACGGCAACGTAACCACGTCACCTCCTGTCACCATTCCAACTATGTTTGCTCTCTTGTAGAAGCTGCTGCGTGGTGTGAACACAGAGTGACTGGCAAATCTTATTGATTCTGGGGGACCCCATAGCACCCTATCGAGAAGTCCTAGGATGTGGACCTCTTAAGCCCACCCCGTTGAGTTTGTAAGGTCATCTCTATAAACGTTATCTTGTTTACAGGTACAATTGATCCACAAAACAAAGTGGCTGCTAATCTACTTGTCATTTCTTCTTCGTCTTGCATGTCATTATAAGAGTCCAGGCTGTTGAGAGCATCAAATTCCTCCCATGTTTCGGCCCTCATCTTTCCAGTCACGTAATTAACGATGTTGTGATGGGTCACTTTGGAGAACAAACTGGCTTCATCTGATTTTGAAAAATTATCCAAGCTCCCCAACCCCCCCCCCCACCCCATAGTCTTTCCCTCCAAGCAACTTCAGTTTTTCTACATATCGCGCACGCATGTCATGCTGAGCAAGAGCTATAACAGACCCGGAACGAAACCAAAAAAATGAACCAGATACAAGCCAAGTAGATCTCTGAGTGTGTAAAAAACGAAATCGTTGCCTACCTTAGTGAGAGACCTGACACAGGGAGGCAGGGATGCACTTTCTCATCGTGTAAAGAAGCAGACGGAAACATCATATCATAGCTTACGTTCCGTTTTAAAATGCCGCTACGGCTTCCCTTTCTTTGACATTGGTGCATTGCAAATCAAACAAACACGCTTTGAATGAAACTAAACAAAAAGATAGCTATGTCCCAACGGTTCTGATCGCTAGCTGTAAGCAGCTGCTGACTGCTACCAATTCTTGGGCTAC